AAGGCAGGAGTTTTTCTCTGTTTTGATCCTGGCTGTCTCCGTGGCACCTTAAACAGTACCTGGCACATAGTTATTGTGCTGAAAGAATTTTTTTGAATAAGTGAAAGTAGCTTATCCAAGGCCCACAATAACAAGTGGGAGAAGCAAGATTTGGGCCAAGGAACCCACACTCTTGATCCCCATGGTCTGCTGCCCTGAAGATACTGAGAAAGGACTAACATAAGGCACAACAAAGGTGTCTTCAGTTGATGGATGTGATGTGTATCATCCGGTGTCCTGCCCACCTGGGAACAGCGAGGACACCCAGAGACAAGCTGTCTGTACCTTGCCTCTCCATGCAACCTGTTTGCTCTATTTATGAAATGGGGGGTGGCAAGAGACATACTTTCCCCCCACCTGCCCCATCCCATTGGGAAAGGGCTGAGAACAGGGCTAGGGAAGTCTCTGATATAGCTGCTGCCTGCTGCTCGCTGAGTAAATTAGTTTCATTCATCGAATAGAACATCTGGCTAGGATATCAGAGATAGGATTGTGTGCGAGATTAGTGTCTGCTTATTGTGCTGAAGATCACAGAGGAGAAGCGAGCAGGGCCGCCTGCCACCAGGTCGTCTCCCTGCCCCCGCCCTCCTACTCCCCTTGTCTACTTTCCCTCTGGCGGGATTTAGGAACAGTCTGGGGACAGTGAGATGCTTCCTGTTATGCAGGAAAAGAAATTCAAAATCCGATGGTCAGTCATGAAATTGACATGCCACTGGCCAATTCTGAAGTATATTGGGATGTTGTTTATGGGAAGTGCCTCTCATCCTCAATTTATTCATTCGTCCATTCAGTAGATGCCTACTGTGTGTTAAGAGTATTACAGGCACTGAGAATGTTTCAGTGGACTCAACAGACAGGACCCTTGGTCTCGTGAAGCTTACAGTTGAACACAGACAAACCCAATTCAAGATCAGGAGTGGCCAAGGTAAAGGGTTGGAGAGCCTTTACTCCATCCATGTCTGTGTTCATTCATTCATCCATCCATTTGACAAATAGTTATTGTGCTAGTCCCTGCTCTATTATAGGCTCCAGAGACCCAGCCATAAATGAGCTACATAATGTCCCCACACATTCAAGGGGTGAGGTCACAGAAAACTTTAATATATATATATATACACACATATAGATAGATAGAGATATATACTATGATGTTCGATGGTAGAATTCTCACCTTCTATGCAGGGGACCCAGGTTCAATTCCCAGCCAATGCACCTCTAGCGCAGCCACCACCCATCTGTCAGTGGAGGCTCGTGTGTTGCTGTAATGCTGAACAGGTTTCAGCAGAGCTTCCAGACTAAGATGGACTAGAAAGAAAGGCCTGGAGATCTGCTTCCAAAAGTTAGCCAGTGAAAACCCTATGGATCACAATGGTCTTATCCACAACCAATCATGGGGACGGCACAGGACAGCATTTCATTCCATAGTACATGGGGTCGCCATGAGTCGAGGCCGACTTGATGGCACCTAACAACAACAACATAATGTGACATGAAGATAAATGCTATGAAGAAATGGAAACAGGATGACAGGTGGGGTGGGAGGGTGAACATCAGCTGCAATATCCAGGAAAAGCCTCTCAAGGAGATGTTTGAAAGCAGGCCTTAAAGGCAGGAGAAGACAGTCAAGGAACGATCTGGGGAAAGACAGACAGGTCTACACTCAAACACCATGAGGTTGATGCACAAATAGGCAAGCCTCAGGCCCCTTCAGCCCATCAGTGAGTGGTCTTGACCCACGAGGCTCAGAGACTGCCCAGACTGACGAGTGATGGGTGCTGTGACACCCTTCACCCCAAGGCCCCGACTCGCCACACCACCAGCTTCCAACACACTAGAAATTCTGACATCAGCCGAGACGATCAGACAGATAGGGACATTACTACATTTGGCACAGTGAGTGGTAGAAAATTAATATGAATTACAAATGGGAGCCTGAGCCATCATGCTGACTTTTATTTAGTCATTAATTTGTTGAAACATTAATGAAACATACCCGCAGGCTGAGGGAGACATGTTTACTCTTCACTGCTGGCCATGTCTG